TCCATTGGATATTCCAAGCAATAAAAATACGATTATCTGTCTTTCAAAAAAAAAATTAACAAGTTGCATATTTTGGCAGCAAATACACTTATTCGTTGGTTGAACCCATCTGTCAGTAGCTGTGTATTTCCACAAAAAATCAACTAAATTACGTAGCATTTTCCAGTAAAAATCTGTAAGAGAGTGGCCATATTTATGGAAGAAAAAAATTCGTTTGATCCACCCATTCATTTCAATATTCATGCATCTGGTTGACAGAGATCTTAATTTTCTTTCGGAAAAATGTCATCAAAAAGTCTTTGTTAATAACCGATTACGGCTTTAATTAATCTACAGATAAATGTGCATTAGTGAAAAGACTAGAATTTTTGACAACGCACTAAAACCATCGGGGGAATTCCGTTGAATTAATTATTTTGGATATTTTCACTACAGTTGTGCTTCAAAAGTATTTTCCAAGTTTAGCAACCAAACAATTATGTTCTACCGTGCAGAATGGGGAAAATAGGTTAGAAATACAATATGGTCGAAAATAAGATAAGAGACGATACAAAGTTTGTTGATAAAATAGGTATATTATTCAATTCAAAATTTCAACCAACTGAATGTTTTAATCTTGTCACAAATAACTTGATGGCTTATCCGAATTGTCTGAAATTTGTTCTTCAATCTTCACTTTTTCTCAGTCACATTTCTCACCTATCTCGATTTTAATTCCAGATGTCTGAATGCCGAATACTAAATGTAGTATTCTGTATAACGTTATGGATTTACACATTGAGCATAACAATTATTACATATTTTCCCAATCATTTTGACCACTGAAATATGTCTTTTATAACGGTGAATGCATTTCTTAAACAATTATGCACGTAATTCGTGAATTATTAGCTAGGCTAAGAGTTCGCGTCATATTATACTGCAGATTTGGCTTGTACATCTGATCTTATTAAATACAAATGTATATGAACTGATTTTTCAGAGTAAAATAAAAGTTTACTTATTTAAGGTAGATGTCGAAATTCATATCCACTAGTACCAGTTTGACATTTATTACCATTTAGATCCCCTTTCTCCCATTGGACCTGGGTGCGTGGGCCAATGTGGACATTTTACTATCTAGAATTCACTAAATGTAATTATTATTTTTTTTCAAAATTAATTTTCTTTTGTTACTCTCAACTCAATTAATGACAGAAGAAACAAAAAGAGTAATCTTACACTCGATCTATTGTTTGCATTTTCCGACTCACAGTAAACCAAAATAAAAAAAATATATAGTACAATGCTGGTACTTTATTTAGTATTTTCCATCTTTTTCAAATTAATCTTATATAAATAGCAATGTATTTTTTTACTCTCCATATGGTCATGGAGTTGACACAAGATATGATCAACTTATACAATGTACAGCATTTACAGATGATAGTAGATATGCCTTAATAAAATACTAATTTTAAATTAAATAATTTTTCTTTGAAATCAAATACCTGATAAATAAAAGAGAAGATATTTTTAATTTAATTGATCGGTCAATTCAAAACTTCAAGACTAGAGAAATCATAATTATTTAATATTATTATGATATTACGTATAATCAATAATTAGAATTTGTTTTTTTTCTTACTTTTTATACATGGCATTTGTGTATTCTAAGCGCACTTATCAGCGCAAAATTATCACTTTCAAAATAAATATTTTATTTACTAAGATTAAAATACCAACGGCTTTATCTAAACAATTAGTGAAGTTAAAAAAATGTAAAATTTAAGAACTACAGAAGTTTAACAAGTCTAAAAAATCACAGTATGGTTCAGTAATGTACAGTGTCAAACTGGGATGTGTACATTGATCTTCAGTGATGTACAGTGCCAGTCTGGGATGCGTACAGTGATTAACAGTAGTGTACTGTGCTGTACAGAGATTGAGTACTGTACGCGTCTGTGATGTACAGTGTTGTACTGTGAAGGCGTACAATGAGAGACAGTGGTGTACTGTGCTGTACAGTGGGGACGTACAGTAATGTACAGGGATGTACAAAAAATATCAGTGAGTTTGCACTGTGATTTACCGAGGATTACAGTAGGTACAGGGAATTTGTACAGTGACTGTACAGTGCTTAAACAGAAAAAATCAGAACATTAACAGTGGGTAACAGAGTTTATCAGAGATTTTTCAGAATATCAGGGAATTTTAAGTTCAGTAGTGATATCAAAGTCCATAGTACAATACAAAATAGGAGTTGAGCAAATACGACCCCCAAAAATTGAATCGATCTGAAGTCAAGTATTGAAATCAATCTGATGCCGTAAAGAAAGAAAATCTTGAGATGAGGAATATAGCAGATTTCTAACATTATACAGTGCAAGAGTAATTAAAACCATTCAAAAAATTGGTAAAGAGCAATTCATTTGTCCATTCCATGATTGTACACTCATACGTATTGTCATACGTTTATTCAGTCATACGTATTTTCAAGTTAAAAAAAGAGGTAGGGGCTCCATGGGGGAAAATCGGCCCCAGCTTAAAATTAAATTTTATTTTTTTTGGTTATGTGTTGTGGATGTTTATTTTTTTTTAGAAATGTCATTAATTTGTCCGAGAATCTTAATTTAAGAAGATAATTAAATAATTAATTAATCACAATTTTGTTAGCGTAAACGTTAGAAAGTAGCGTCAATAATTAATACTTAACAGTTACTCATTACCTTCCTCTGAGGTCACTGAGATAAACCTACTCACTCATACTACTAACAATAATAAAACTTATTTGATAGGTTACAACCGCCAAAGAAGACGGTATGGTTTTAGCTTAATTGTGCCCAAAAAATGTAATGTCATCAAAAAGTTTTGAATTCGGCTTCAATATTAGTTAAGAATATAGCTGTGATAAATCAGGAAAGAATATGGCACAAAGAATTATAGTTCTGCAAATATGACATCAATAATGTGATGTATTTCTGTATTTTTAACAGAAAAAGCCTCAAATTAGCCAATTTCAAGGGTAATTTTCCTTTAGAAAATAGTTTCCACAGCCATCGCGCACTTTTATTTTTTGATATGTTGCGCGTTGCTTTACTAAACCGATACCTGAACGGGCCGATTTCAATCAGTTTATGACTATTTTTCTGTAATGAACAGATACATTTTGATAACTTTTGAAGGAGATAGAGACTTTATATTTGTAATGCATACTCCATTAATTAATTGCTTTCAAATTAAACCAAGGACAATGATCCAGTAAAATGACTGTGACCTACTGTAAATCTTTTTAATTCCACGGTGTTTAAATTTCACGATTTCTCAAAATGTACCATTCGCGATGGTTTTAATTTCACGCAACTAGAAATTAATTTTATTTTCGTATAAGCATTTAAACGTTTTTAAGAGAAATGAGGACCTTCGCTATGGGTTTAATTTCGCGGAAAGATGGTGAATCGCTAACATAGTGAAAATAAGACCATCGTGATTATTTACCAATCTAAAGTATTTGATAAAAATTAATCTTTAGAACTTTGTTTCCGCCGGGTGTATAGTGTTTCACAAACACATCTTGTTTAAATTGTATTTAATTGATTTACTTAAAACAAGAATTTATTTACTGAATCCAGGAGAATTCAGAGCAGTTCAAGTACAAATAATTACTTAAATATGGTAGTCTAATCACTATCGGGATTGATTTCTTGAAATATTATTAAGATCGACAAAAGAGTCTACTCACTGTACATGCTGTTAGTAAATATTTGTATAACTGTGTTTAAACACTTAATAATGTTGTTTTTTTATGCCGCCACTTGTCAAAAGATAAGATTCAATACATTGGTCATGAAGATACAAAGTAATGGGTACATTTTCTACTTCAGTTAAATTTTTGCACTTTATCGTGTTATAAATTGCATATAACTTTACACATTGTTGATGCATGGTGTTGTAAGTTTTATAACTATACATGTATGTATGTATGCATTATGTTGCAGTACTTTAAGCCATTTGGATATCCATATGATATTGAATAATAAGTTTCTATAAAATCACAAAGCTGTTTCTTTACAAAATTAAGGGGTCCTGACCCTTTTCTATAAAACTCACTTGAGAAAATTTAAAATTTGTAAGATTGATTTTCAAAAACAACAATAACATTAGAGTCACATAGAAAATAGTTTGAAGTATGAAGCACTGCTCATTTTTTCAGAAATGATTTTTATGTCAGATCATGATATGAAGAAATTAAACATTGAGAACAGAAAGATAAGCGATTTATTATCACAACATTTAATTTAATATATGAGGTGCATATGAAAATTATACTTAGTATCATACCTATTAAAATTATGTTAGAAAACAACACGAAGCGATGTTTCCTAAGTCAGAAAATCACACAATTATAGTATGTGGTTGTAAGAAAAAAAAACATCTGTTGGGAGGAGTTATCTTTCTTCTAAATATTTCTTCATGTGAAAAAAGTTATACTAATAAAAATGCTGTATTGAGTACTTGAACCATTAAACCAGTTTTAAAGTGGTCCTTAAAAAGATACAACTTATTCAATTTATAAGGCTTTTGATGTTGGGATTAAATGTTTTATTGTTACATATAATAAAACAATTAAAAAGAAATTGGCAAAAGAAATGGAAAGTATTGTTAATTTGTTTCCATCCACTTAGATTTCAATAAGTCTCAATAAGGTATCTCTGATCAACAAAACTTTGAATAATACTCACAACTTGTACTTTCAAAGTTAACTCTATTCTGAGAGGGTCTATACGTTGCAGTGTTTAATGGTTTATGGTAAATTTTTGAGATCATTAATGTCGTAAAAATACCTTTCGACAAAATAGGTAAAATATTACATCAGGATGAGTCTATGATAATTTATGTAATGATGTAATCTAATGCAAATAGTTCAACTTTAACAATGTCGGTAAAGACAGTTAGACGTAAATAAACTAATATTTGTAGAATAGGCCTTTTAATGAATTAATGAAGAAATATTATTTCAGATCACTACAAAGCAACCAGATAACCACCATTGCAGATAACGCCTTTAATGGATTGCCAAATTTACAGGCACTGTAAGTTTTTGATCATTTTTTTTTTCATTTGTCAGATTAAAAGAAATTTTTATTTATTAGCAATTTTGCAAATTTAATGTATCAGGGAATTTGCTTACAACATTTAAAGAAATGATTGCGGATATTCATTGGATTAAGTAAAGGACAATAGATGTTGTCTCTGCAGGTCGACGCATGTACTGAACATAAGCAAACGTAGTAGATAATATGTTGGTTATTTGACTCTATAGAATGCATGATGAAGTACCCTTAATGTTTACTGCCAAGGGTGAAAAAAAAACTTATACATAATGTTTCTTTATACATAAAAAGAAACATCGGGTACAATGTTTTTGGAGCTTTTTATATTTGAGGAGTGACAGGAGAAGTGTTGTGGTAAGTCTTTCATTAACATGTTCAAAATGTATTTTCTATACATTACTGCTCAAATTGTTTTCATGATCATAATGCTTTGATATAGTACACGTACTTAAGAAACAAGTGTAAACGTATAGGGTTTAGAATAAGTGTTTTATTTGAACAATTTTAACCTGGAATATATTTGCTGTTCGTTATATCCATATCCTTCATTCATATAAGAAGGATATGGAGATAAGAATAACATTCAATATCAAAGTCCATAATACAATACATAATAGGAGTTGAGCAAACACGACCCCCAAAAATTGAATCGATCTGAAGTCAAGTATTGAAATCAATCTGATACCATAAAGAAAGAAAATCTTGGGATGAGGAATATAGCAGATTTCTTACATTATACAGTGCAAGAGTAATTAAAACCATTCAAAAAATTGGTAAAGAGCAATTCATTTGTCCATTCCATGATTGTACACTCATACGTATTGTCATACGTATATTCAGTCATACGTATTTTCAAATTAAAAACAAAGAGGTAGGGGCTCCATGGGGGAAAATCGGCCCCAGCTTAAAATTAAATTTTATTTTTTTTGGTTATGTGTTGTGGATATTTATTTTTTTTAGAAATGTCATTTATTTGTCCGAGAATCTTAATTTAAGAAGATAATTAAAGAATTAATTAATCACAATTTTGTTAACGTAAACGTTAGAAAGTAGCGTCATTACGTAATACACAACAGTTACTCATAACCTTCCTCTGAGGTCACTGAGATAAACCTACTCACTCATACTACTAACAATAATAAAACTTATTTGATAGGTTACAACCGCTAAAGAAGAAGGTATGGTTTTAGCTTAATTGTGCCCAAAAAATGTAATGTCATCAAAAAGTTTTGAATTCGGCTTTAATATTAGTTAAGTATATGGCTGTGTTAAATCAGGAAAGAATATGGCACAGAGAATTACAATTCTGCAAATATGACATCATTAATGTGATGCATTACTATATTTGTAACAGAAAAGCCTCAAATTAACCAATTTCAAGGGTAATTTTCCTTTAGAAAATAGTTTCCACAGCCATCGCGCACTTTTATTTTTAGCACACCTGAGCCGATGGCTCAAGTGAGCTTTTCTGATCAAAATTTGTCCGTTGTCTGTCGTCGTTATCGTTGTTGTCGTTGTCGTCGTAAACTTTTCACATTTTCATCTTCTTCTCAAGAACCACTGGGCTAATTTAAACCAAACTTGGCACAAAGTTTTCTTGGGTAAAGAGGATTCAAGTTTGTTCAAATGAAGGGCCACGCCCTTTTCCAAGGGGAGATAATCATGAATTTGTTTAAAATTAATGGCATTTTTAAAAAATCTTTTTCTCTAGAACCGCTGGTCCAGGAAAGATGAAACTCATGTGGAATCATCCTCAGGTAGTGTGGATTCAACTTTGTTCAAATCATGACCCCCGGGGCAAGGGTGGGGCCAAAATGGTCGACCCTAGGTTTACATAGGAATATATAAGAAAAATCTTCTTCTCCAGAACCACTAGGACAGGAAAGATGAAACTCATGTGGAATCATCCTCAGGTAGTGTAGATTCTAGTTTGTTCAAATCATGACCCCTGGGGCAAGGGCGGGGCCAAAATGGCCGACCCAAGTTTTACATAGGAATATATAGGAAAAACCTTAAAAAATCTTCTTCTCCAGAACCACTAGGCCAGGAAAGATGAAACTCATGTGGAATCATCCTCAGGTAGTGTAGATTCTAGTTTGTTCAAATCATGACCCCTGGGGCAAGGGTGGGGCCAAAATGGCCGACCCAAGTTTTACATAGGATTATACAGGAAAAATCTTTAAAAATCTTCTTCGCCAGAACCACTGGGCCAGGAAAGATAAAACTCATGTGGAATCATCCTCAGGTAGTGCAGATTCAAGTTTGTTCAAATCATGACCCCCAGGGCAAGGGTGGGGCCAAAATGGCCGACCCAAGTTTTACATAGGAATATATAGGAAAAATCTTTTTCTCTCCAGAACCACTGGGCCAGGAAGAATGAAACTCATGTGAAATCATCCTCAGGTAGTGTAGATACAAGTTTGTTCAAATCATGACCCCTGGGGCAAGGGTGGGGCCAAAATGGCCGACCCAAGTTTTACATAGGAATATATAGGAAAAATCTTTAAAAATCTTCTCCAGAACCACTGGGCCAGGAAAGATAAAACTCGAGGAATCATCCTCAGGTAGTGCAGATTTAAGTTTGTTCAAATTATGACCCCTGGGGCTAGGGTGCGGACAAAATGGCCCACCCAAGTTTTACTTAGGGATATCTAGGGAAACCTTTTAAAAGCTTCTTTACAAGTACTTAAAAGCTATGATTAGTGATATTTATATGGAATCATTCTCAGGTAGTGTAGATTCTAGTTTGTTCACATGACGAACGCCTGGTGGGGGGTGGGGGGTGGGAGTATGTGTTCAGGTGAGCGCTGTGGCCCCTGGGCCTCTTGTTTGATATGTTGTGCAAAAAACCATTAAATATCATATATCTCAAAATCTTTGTGGGCGATGCCTGTGGACAATGTTTTCTGAAAGAAAATTCCATTGAAAAGTGTTGTCTTCTGCTACTTTTGAAGAAAATACGTGAACATGCATAAATTTATGACGTCACAATTAGCATTTTAAAACACATGTGAGAAAAATGATTTGTATGATTTTTCTGCATGGAATTTCAATAATTCAGAAAGTATTTTTTTCACCACTTACACTAGTTTTATTTTTTTTAGAACACACAGGGCAAGATTTATATGAAAATCATACCTTGTTGTAAAGGTGTAATGATGATAATCTTATGGTTGTCATAGCAATGACCTATGTTCATAAATATGTCTCTGACTGCATTAATAACAAAAAGGAAATATCTCAAAAACATTACGATTTTAGCTATTTTCAAAACATAGATGTGTTTTGTTGCAAAGAAGAGGTCATCAGTAAATTAACATGAAACATCCTGTTCATAATTTAATTCGAGCCCAGATAGGTATCCAGTTTTCATTTAGATCGGACTTGTCAAACCGCACGTGGCATTCGGTGCGTAATATACTCTGACGTCACATGACGTCGTTTGCATTGTTGCTTTACTACACCGATACCTAAACGGGCCGATTTCAATCAGTTTATGACTATTTTTCTGTAATGAACAGATGCATTTCGATAACTTTTGAAGGAGATAAAGACTTTATATTTGGTATGCATAATTAATTAATTGCTTTCAAATTACACCAAGGACAATGATCCAGTAAATTGACTGTGACCTACTGTAAATCTTTTTAATTCCACGGTGTTTAAATTTCACGATTTCTCAAAAAGTACCATTCGCGATTGTTTTAATTTCACGCAACTAGAAATTAATTTAATTTTCGTATAAGCATTTAAACGTTTTTTAAAAGAAATGAGGACCTTCGCTATGGGTTTAATTTCGCGGAAAGATGGTGAATCGCGAACATAGTGAAAATAAAACCATCGTGATTATTTACCAATCTACAGTATTTGATAAAAATTAATCTTTAGAACTTTGTTGCCGCCGGGTGCATAGTGTTTCACAAACACTTCTTGTTTCAATTGTATTTAATTGATTTACTTAAAACAATAATTTATTTACTGAATCCAGGAGAATTCAGAGTAGTTCAAGTACAAATAATTACTTAAATATGGTAGTCTAATCACTATCGGATTGAATTCTTGAAATATAATTAATATCGACAAAAGAGTCTACTCACTGTACATGCTGTTAGTAAATATTTATATAACTGTGTTCAAATACTTAATAATGTTGGGGTTTTTTTTGCCGCCTCTTGTCAAAAGATAGGATTCAATACATTGGTCATGAAGATACAAAGTAATGGGTACATTTTCTCCTTCAGTTAAATTTTTGCACCTTATCGTGTTATAAATTGCATATAACTTTACACATTGTTGATGCATGGTGTTGTAAGTTTTATAACAGTTACTATACATGTATGTATGTATGCATTATGTTTCAGTACTTGAAAACATTTGGATATCCGTATGATATTGAATAAGAAATTTCTATGTAATAACAAAGCCGTTTCTTTACATAACTAAGGGGTCCTGACCCTCTTCGATAAATCTCACATGAGAAAATTTAAAAGAGCCAAGTATGTTAGTTAGAAAAATCGTCCTTTCTTTAAAAAATGAAAATAATTAATATGACCTGTACACTTCATGAATATATTACCAATTTTCATCTTTCTTTTATAGTTAAGGTGAAATGACCCTCTAAAGATGGGGTGTATTTCATTGCATTTTACTGATTTGAGGACTGTGACGTCATTTTTACGATCAATTAAGAACATTTTTATAACAAGTTTAATGTTTCATTGTATGTTATAAGTAAATTATTTTATATTTAACTGTTAAAATTACATTGTTTATTTACCTTAAAAATAATATTGTGCAAAAAGAATGTTTTAAAGAACAAATGACTTCTAATATCTCTGTATATCTGAATATCATAATTGCAGTCAATTCTTTGCATATTTTGCAGACGATTTTTTCCCTCAAATCAAGTCATTTTTTTCAGTAATGTTAAAATCATAGATCATGATTTCTAAAAGATGTGGTTTTTAAAGGATCTTTAA